AAGTCAAAAACTATTCAATATTGGACTCATTTCGAAGGTATTAACGAGATGATTATAATGGTGTAACTTGTTAAAATAAAAATGTATTTTTAAACATGTTTTAATTGATATACGATTATGTATGTTAATTTGATAAAAGTTTAAAATGAAATATTTAAAAGTAAAGGACGTAAAATTAATTAATTAATTAATTAATTATAGGGGTATAAAGTGTAAATTTAAAATTATAATTAAAAAAAAAATTATTGTGAGATGGTGAGTGTATGTGAGGGGATGAGTGCATGTGAGGAGATGAAGGGGTGAAAAAGTGAAAAAGTGAGTATAAATGATATTTTGGTCATTTAATATTTTAAGACTTTTGCTAAATTTGTCTTAATAAGATAGTATTAAAATTATAATTTTAAAATTATCGGTTGTGAGAGGGTGAGTGTATGTGAGGGGTGAAAAAGTGAAAAAGTGAGTATAAAAGGTATTTTAGTCATTTAGTATTTTAAGACTTTTGCTAAATTTGCTTAATAAGATCGTATAGATTAAAATAAATATGTGTTTTTTATACATATTTTAATTGATATACGATTATGTATGTTAATTTGATAAAAGTTTAAAATGAAACATTTAAAAGTAAAGGACGTAAAGTAAATTAATTAATTAATTATAGGGGTATAAAGCGTAAATTTAAAATTATAATTTTTTTTAAAAATCGGTTGTGAGAGGGTGAGTGTATGTGATGGGATGAGTGTATGTAAGGAGAGGAGAGGGGTGGAAAAGTGAAAAGGTGAGTATAAAGGGTATTTTGGTCATTTAGTATTTTAAGACTTTAAAACTTTTGCTAAATTTGCTTAATAAGATAGTATAGATTAAAATAAAAATGTATTTTTTAAACATGTTTTAATTGATATACGATTATGTATGTTAATTTGATAAATGTTTAAAATGAAACATTTAAAAGTAAAAAACGTAAAGTAAATTAATTAATTAATTATATGTGTATAAAGTGTAAATTTAAAATTATAGTTTTAAAAAAATCGGTTGTGAGAGGGTAAATGTATGTGAAAGGTGAGTATATATAAGGACAGGAGGGGGTGAAAAAGTTAGTATAAAGGGTATTTTGATCATTTAAAAATTTTAAGACCTTAAGACTTTTGCTAAATTTGCTTAATAAGATAGTATATATATATATATAAAACCTCAAATATCTATTCAAAGCCATATTGGAACCAAGAGTTTATGGAGTCCAGATAAGTCTATATTCAAACACTGTGTGTGTGTGTGTGTGTGAAAGAGAGATGAAGAGGTTGTGCCATTGGGGTGATGGAGATTGAAGACGACAATACCAGTGGTTAGAGATAGAGGTAGTGAACGATGAGATTAGGGACTCGGGTTGGGTTTTAAGTGTTTTTATATATTAACGGTCATTATAATAAAAGTAAACCAAAAAAACAAAAATGTTCATCATTTGACGGTAGCAACTAGCAGCCCTAACAACATAAAAAACGTAAGAAAAATGAAATCCTGACGAACATTGTTATTAATTTCTGTTAGATGAGAGGTATTTTAGTCTTTTCATACCCTTCTGACATTTTACTTTAAAAAATAAAGATTAATCAATTAAACCAATCCCTCCCCATTTTT